ATCAGTCATTCCTTAACATTTGGGGGGAAGGGGAGACAGGGTCTCCTTGTAGCCCCAGCTGGTCTACGACTCATTATAAAGACCAGGCTGACATCGATCTCATAGAGATTTGCCTACCTCTGCCTCCAGAGTGCTGGAACTAAAGGCGTTCATGCCCAGGATTCCTTAACATTCTTATCTATTAATTAAACATTAAGAAGAAAACCTTCCCAAGAACTACTCTCTGTTCCACCTAACTATATACCACCACAGTAACAAGGACCATTCTGGCAATGGTTATGTATAATGGGAGCCTGCCAAAACAGATGAAATTTTACTTTATTGCATGGGGCTGGCTACATGTTTTTTTGTTTGTTTGTTTGGTCTTCTTGAGACAGGGTCTCCCTGTAGCCCCAGCTATCCTGGAACTCACTATGTAGACCAGGCTAGCCTTAAACTCACAGAGATTCCCTTGCCTCTGCCTCCCAAGTGCTGGGACTACAGGCGTGCGCCACCACACCCGGCTGCTACATGTTTTTATACTAAGAAATTGAAAGTCCTATCTCAAGAGAAAACTACAGTTCAGATACATCAGTGACTAAATGAATATTAATTCCACACTGAATTTTCTTTTAGTTGACAGCCATATTTAATTTACATAATTGAGCCCATTTTCAGCAGTGACAAAAATAGTAAGTCTCTTGAGTGGATTGTAAGCTTTGCTGATTGTGTATTAGAAACTCTATAAGCAAGACCCAAATGCAACTAGGTGAGCCCATGCAGAGAACAAATTTGTAGAAATTCCCAAAACAAAACAAAAAAATCTATAGCTTACTACAGATGACACAATGAAGACTAGAGAGAAAAGCCAGATAGTAATGCTACACCATTCAGCTCCAAGAAGCATAGTGTTTATTGTGCAGTCCACATAAAGTTACTGCTAAGAGTCAAATCACAGTTACATTTTGGAAGTAATGGAGTCCACAGATCTAAACAGATATGCAACATGACAAAAATCCAATTATACATGTACTGACAAATCTCTAATAAGCAAACTAAACAATAGCAACTACAGTTTGAAAGCTTACACTAATTCTTAAAACCCATTCAACCTGACAACTACTAAAGTCAGGATTTCAGTCAGGTAGAGCACAAAGCAACTAATGACTGAAGGGTAGCAGTACTTCCAACTGTAACAATGCCAGTATTATTTTAAGTCTATAACTCAGGCATTTTGCCTTTTGTCTAACTTCATTATCCCATCTGAATTATCTTCAAACTACGATAAAGCTCATAAAGGACCACACATCCTAAATCACACCAACCAATTCTTGTAATTATAACAGAATTTGAATTTGGGCTACAGTTTGAGATTACATTTAGTTTTCCAAATATTTTAAATATGTATGCTAGAACTTTAAAATCTCATTAAGTAACAATGACTTAAAATTCAAGATAAAAAATTATTTGCAATAAGGATAAAATGTTATATACTTTATATTTTTACTTTAACTCAGATAATCAAGTTATCTAACAATTCTTACATATTTTTCTTAGATGTTTTACTCTTAATTAGAAGGACATTTGGTTGGTTGAAATAAAGAAAAATAAAAGTTTATAGTAAATATATCAAATACTTTATGAACACTAGATTTTATTGTTTTTAACTGTCTACTGAAACTGAAATATATGTTATCATCTCACTAGCAAATCCAGACTTCAGAAGTTCACTAAGTACATAATTTATTAGCATCTTTGAATCTCGTTTCACATCTTGCTGGTTTGCATCAAATATGCCCTATTACAAAACAAAGGTCCTTAAACCTATACTCATAATAACCCTCACACAGGCATATTCTTGACACAAACCTGTGCAGAGACTTCCAAGGTTACCAGGTGCTGCAGATTACCTTTGTTTTTGAAAAAAAAAAAAAAAAAAAAAAAAAAAAAAAAACCTCACATTCCTGTTGGTCAAATAGACACTTGAACTTTTGCTTCCTCTCTATATGTGATCAAATAATGTCCACCAGAAATCAAGCCTTTCTTTTACCTACACAAGCTCATACCATCACTGAACTAGACTTTTAGCTCCTGCAATGATCTGTAGACTCCCAAAGCTGCATTTCCAGCCACTTTTTGAGTTGCATGCTGTAGCAAAACAGTCAGCACCTCTCAAGATATTGCTGCAGAGAAAGATTTTAATTCAGCAGAGACTCCTTTGTGTTAGAAGCAACATTTCCCCCTAAGAAAAAAACAGTTCAATATAGCCAGCCAGCCATATAATTCAATATATACTTGATATTTGTTGGGCATTCTTTGAGTGACAGGGGACTTTTGTCTTGTGAGAGAAGAACATTATCTACTTTGATGCCAATCACACAAGAGTTTCTTTAAAACTTCAAATTTTATTTCCAAATGATTGGGAAGCATAAACAAATATAGCTCTTTGTGAGTCCCTCCCTCTCTCCCTCCCTCCCTCCCTTCCTTCCCTACTTTTATCTAACACAGTATATCTATAAAGGTTCTACTACTACCTAAACTGCCAATTCACAAATAATGCATGTTTATAAATTTCAGAAATCAGAGTATAATTTAATATAACATATATATCTCTGGCCATACTTTTTTCAAAAATTAAAGATCTGGTCTGAGTACTATCTTTTCTTTTACATTAAAAAATATTTTATATGTATGAGTGTTTTGTCTGCATGGCTGTATATGTATATGCACCATGTGCATGCCTGGTGCCCACAGGCATCAGAAGATGGGGGTTGAATCCCCTGGAACTAGAATTACAGACAGGAAGTGAGCCTCCATGTGGGTGCTGGAAACTGCACCTGGGTCCTCTGCATGAGCAGTTCTCTTAACTGCTAAACCATCTCTTCACTATTCCCCTGTCCCCCTTTTTTTGGAGGCAAGGTTTTACCATGTAGCCCTGGCTGGCTTAGAACTCCTAGAGATCCAGAGATCCACCTGTCTCTGCCTCCTAGGAATCATTTTTTATGGAGAAGATAACACTATTTAAGAGACAATGATTACTCAATTGGACTGTCTAGTCAGTGCTTCCCTATGACATGTACAAAAAGGAAAAAAAAAAAAAAAAACCTGGGCATTGTGAGGAAAAATATCATCAGCCTCTTGTCATAGGAATTTCTTTTAAAAATCTTACAATTCAGCCCTATAAAGGATTTTTAAGTGTTAAATATCAATGCTTTAATTAAAAAAAAAAAACTAAGTATACCAATAATGAATACTTGGCTACAAATTTAGGTTAATTAAATTTCCTGCTACTGGCAAGTCAAAGAATTCAGTAGAATTATGGTTTATACAACCATGTACCTTATCGAATATGGTTCTGGGGACTTGATATTGGTGGTTTGCTCTTAAAACTCTGATGCAAAAGAACATACTCAAATTAAAATGGAAAAAATTAAATTATTTCCAGGTACAAGATATGTATCTTGCCTATGGATTTCATTATAAAATTCTCCTTGGTGATAATCCCCATAAGGATATAGAACAAGGTACATATTTTGGTGAGTTTTAGCTTAGCAAAATGGGCTTGGCATTTTACTCTTGTGTCAAAATACAAGACTGGTCTTTCAGCACATTATTAGATATGAATTCTCCCTCTGCAGCATTATCACATGCGTCATCAATTACTGCCATGCCTAAGTCTAGCATCATGCCAGGACAGAAGGTAAGACAGAAGGTACTATATGCAGTGTTCACTGGACCAGAAGGACAGAAAGAAGGGGAGGTGGGGGAGAAAGAAACCCTAGAGAAGAAATTAAAAAAAGGCAGACCGTGCAATACAAACCAGATCATGGCTGCTTAGCTAATATGGGCCAACTGCTGTGGAAGAAAAATGTCGAACACCCCAAGTTGTGTAAATTTCTGTAAACAACTAAACGCACACACAAACACACACAACACCAACCTAATTAGGAACATAAATATATGTTGATCCTTTACTATGTTATAATTTTGAAAACAAAATCAAAGTATCTATAATTTGTAAGTTGCCTTGTTATTTCACAGAAGGAAAAGCAGCTAGTGTTTCTTAAAAGGAGAGAGGGCTAATCTAGATTGATACAAAGATTAAGATTCTCTCTGACTTTTTACCCCATTCAAGTTTTACTAATGCCTCAATGAAATCCTTTTAGGCATATAGAGATAAGCATCAATTTTAAATACTGACAAAGATGACAAGTTTAGACATTTTAACAAGGGACTGTTATTTTAAAATAATGGTTTGGGTTGTTTTGTTTTGAGACAGGGTCTCACTATGCAGCCCTGGCTAGCCTGGAAGATGCTAGGTACACGAGGCTGGGCTAGAACTCACAGATATCTGCCTGTTCTGCCTGGGAGTGCTGGGATTAAAAACATGCATTACCATGCCCAGTTTGTTTTGTTTTAATGCTCAAAACTTGACTTTTTTTTAAAATTAGGAGGTAGGGAAAATAAATATTCTTATTCTGCTGTTTGGCATCATTAATGTCACAGACTAAGTATGAAAAGACAGAAATAACTGACTTTTGACAAGAACAACAAAAACAAAAACCACCAGACATTTCTGAAGCTATGGAAACCAAATTTACCATATTTCATTAGAGTCTGGTAAATAAAACTCACTACTTCTGAACTATTTCTGATGGATCATTTCACATATGATTATGTTGCCCAGAAAAGGTATTAAAGGATCAAAATACATTTTACTCCTTCATTTGATTTACAAAAACACTAAACCTAACTTTCTATCTTTATCAAAATCTCAATATGTGCCAAAATGACATTTTTTTTCATCAAAACTTTAACTTTTTTTCTCTGTGTTACACTGACTTCCCAACATATTATTAAATTACATCCCAAACTCTACCTAATTACTCCAGGGCATGCAAGAAAATAGCTCTACACTATACTATTAGTTATTAATAAGTCAACCTTCATTCATATCAAGTGTCACACGAACTCTAACTAACTAACTGGCTAAGACTCAAAATAGGCACTGATCATCTTACCGATTCTATGGGCTTGTCAAGTGATGCTTGTTCAATTTCCAAGTGTCCTTCTTCATATTGATCAAAGTGATTACCCTGAAAAAAGAAAACTAGAGTGATTTTTCAAAAACAATAAATATCAAAATGATTAACAATTTAGCCAAACTTTAAGTTAAATTATTTAATATATTTATTTATACTTATATATCATTATTTTATATGTATGAGTGTTTTGCCTGCGTGTAAGTGCACCACGTGGAGGCCAGAAGGCAATGCTGGATCCCCTGGAACTGGAGTAACAATTGAGTGTTTGCTGCTATGTGGGTGCTGGGAACTGACAGGGTCCTCTGCAAGAGCAGTTGGTGTTCTTAACCACTGAGCCATCTGACCAGTCCCTATACCCCATAAGTAATTTTAAACTTTTTATTCTTATTTTCAGTAGACAACCAAAACTGTACCATTAAATCCAGACTCTTCAGAAAATGTTCTACCAATGGTGGATGTAGCTCAGTGGTAGAGTGCTTGACCAGCATGCCTGAGGTCTAGGTTCAATACTGGGAGATAAGTACCCACCCGACTCACTCCTGCACAAAAATACTTGGTGGTGGTGGTGGGGTAATGATGATGGCTCAGGAAGTAAAGGCACTTAGGCCTAAGGAGGCAAGCCTGATGACCTGAGTTTGATCCCTAGAACCCAAATAAAGGTAGAAGGAGAAAGTGACTCCACAAAGTTGTCCTCTGATCACCACATGCAAGCTATGGTATGTAAGCCTGCTTGTGCATAAACACAGACAAAATCTTCACAACAACTAGAAGTTAGAGGCATAATTCACTGGAAAAGAAGTTGTCTAGTATGCACAAGGTCCTATGTTCAACCACTAGCACAGGAAAATAAAGAAAAGGTGGAAGGAGGGAGGGAGGGAGGGAAGGAAAGACTTGCTAAGAGTCTATAACTAGGGCTGGAGATGTTGCTCAGGGTAAAATGCTTGCCCAGCATGCCAGAGGTCCTGGGTTCATCATCAGCACTGAAAGAAGGGGAGGAAAAAAAAATAAAAATAAAAAAAACCCATAAGAACTAAATCTAGAACTCCAAACTCTTCTCTCCCTAACAAATGTTTAAATTGTTAACTAAAAATACTACCAACTACTTGGGACATCAATGTTTAATCTGATTGGAAGACTGGAGACTATTAAAAAACAATGGACTATACCATTCTACTGTCTATATTTATCTATTTACTTATTTGTATATGCACACAAACATGCCATGACACACATATTGAGGTCAAAGGCCAACTTTGTAGACGTCAGCTTTCTCTTTCCATTATGTGTGTCTAAGGGATCACATTCATGTGGTCAGGCTCAGCTGCAAGTGCTTTACTCACTGAGCCATCTTGCTGGCCCTGAATTTCATTTTTCTGTACTAAAGAATATAAGTCCTATCTAGGCATGGTGGAGGACATCTGTAATTCCAGGGGCAGTTCTACACCATCCTGGACTGGACTATACAGCAAAACAGAAAACAAAGCAATGAAACAAAATAAGTCACAAAAGAAGAGTATATGGGAATGGAGAAATGGCTCAGCAGTTAAGAGCACTGGCTGCTCTTCCAGAGGACCTGGGTTCAATTCCTAGCACCCACATGGCAGCTAATAACTATCAGTAACTCCAGTTCCAGGGTAATCCAACGTCCTCTTTTGACCTCCAAGGGCACTGCATAACATGGGTGCACTTACATACATGCAGACAATACACTCATACACATAAAATAAAAGAAATAAAAAAAAGAAGAGTGTACATAAAAACGATGTCATACTGTTTGAGTTGACAGCACTGTTTTTTGGAGATGCTCTGTTCTGCTGACAGATAAACATACTGGTGTGAGGTTATTCCTGAGCATAATCAAGCAAGCTGTCATTGCAAGAATAAGCAGTTCAGACATCTAGGAAGTTACCTTTAATCGTTTTCTCAAACCTACCTGCTTCATTAGGAAAGAATGGCCCATAATATGGCATGGAATCAAAATATTAATTATCTGGTTCCTTTTTTCAATACTGGAACTTGAATCAGGTTTTTGCACAGCAGGTGCTTTATCACAAAGTCACCTTCTTGTTACAGAAGATAATGGCATGAGTATGTGAGGCCTGAATTGACTTAAGTCAAAAGACCAAAGACTTGAAGTCTGCATAAATGAATCTGCTATGTAAAATTATTTAACTTGAGGCTGGGTGTGGTGATACATGTCTTTAATCCCAGCATATTAATCAGGAGGCAGAGGCAGGAGGATCTCATAGAGATCGAGGCCAGCCTGATCTACATAGCAAGTTCCAGGCCAGTTGTGGCAACAGGGAGACCAAATGATAATAATAATAATAATAATAACAATAATAAAACAATACCACCAAGACAGAAAGAAAAAAAAGTTGAAAAAAGAAAATTAAGTACTAAAATTGTGTGCTACAGATAAAGTTCTAGAACTAGATAGTGGTAGCAGTGGCAGTCATATAACACTGTTAGTGTACATAGTGTACATTTTACTGTGGGGGGTTTCACTATGTAGTGCTGGCTGCCCTGGAACTCATTTTGTAGACCAAGCTGGTATCAGGCCCACAGAGATGCATCTGTCTCTGCCTCATGAGTGCTGGGCTTATAAGCATAAGCAACCACACTGGGTATTTTAAATAATAAATTTTACTTGTAATTCCAGCACTTTTATTTATTTATTTATTTATTCATTCATTCATTCATTCATTCATTTATTTATTTATTCATTCATTCATTCAGTCATTTATTTATTTATTCATTCATTCATTCAGTCATTTATTTATTTATTCATTCATTCATTCAGTCATTTATTTATTTATTCATTCATTCATTCAGTCATTTATTTATTTATTTTATTTTATTTTTGGTCTTTTTGAGACAGGGTCTCCCTGTAGCCCCAGCTGGCCTGGAACTCATTATGTGAACCAGGCTTGCCTTGAACTCACAGAGAGCCACCTGCTTCTGCCTCCCAAGTGCTGGAATTAAAGGTGTGTGCCACCACGCCCAGCTAATCCCAGCACTTTTAAGGTGGGGGCAGGAGGATCAGGAGTTCAAGGCAAGCCTCAGCTACATAAGACTCTATCTTAATCAATCAAGCAATAAAAATTTAAATATAGCCAGGCGTGATGGCACTTGTCTCTAATCCTAGTATTTGAGATGCAGAGGCAGGCGGATGTCTGAGTTCCAGGCCAGCCAGAGCTACATAATGCGACTCTGTCTCAAAAAAAGAAAGAAAAAAACAACAAAAAATGAATTTATACACACACACACACACACACACACACACACACGAATGATAAAGCATAGCCAAAAAGAAAAATAACAGGGACTAAAGAGATGGCTCAGAAGTTAAGAGCTCAGGCTGCTCTTGCAGATGACCCAGTACCCAAATGGCGACTAACAGCTGTTCCATAACTCCAGTTCTAGGGGCTCCTACACTTTCTTCTGACCTCCACGGGCACTACATGACATGGGTGCACTTACACACATGTAGGCAATACACTCATACACACACAAAAATATTTTTTTTTTAAAAAGAGATTAGTTAAAACACTAAGAAGCAAGTTTTATTATAAAAAGATCATTGGGCAAAATAAAGATTAACTTAAGACAGACTACAGATTTAAATGCTATTTTTCTCATTTGGCAAAACCAATAGTGGTTGTAGAGATGGTTCAGCAGTTAAGAGCACTAGAGTTCGGTTCCCAGTACTCACATGGCAACTAACAACTATCTGTACCTCCAGTTCTAGGGGACCTCACAGTCTCTCCTGGCCTCTGTGGGCATTGCATACACAGGTACACTTACATACAAGCACGCAAAATGCCCATACACATAAAAATAAGATGAATAAACATAAAAATAAAGCTCGTGTATTTTAGGAAATACACAAGCTCCAAAGTGCACATATGAAAGCCAGTTTGAAAAGGCTATAAACTAAACTTCTAAAATCTGCCATAAAACACCTGGTTCAGGGTCCTGGAACACTCACATTGGATAGCTCATAACCGTCTACCACTCCAGCTCCAAGGGATCTTCTGTGAGCACTGCATGTACTTAGTGCACTTATACGCAAGCAAAACACTCATACACATAAAAGTTAAAAATTTTTTTTAATCTGGAAAAGGAGGTGTGGTCCTTTAACCCTAGCACTTCAGAGGCAAGAGATCTCTTTGAGTTCCAGGCCAGCCAGCACTACACAGTAAGACCTACCTCAAAAACAAACTAAATAAATAAATATAAATAAATAACAAAATAAAAATTTAAATAGGGCCGGGAATAGTTCAATATCACAGCATTTAATTAATATGATCAAGGTTCTGAGTTTTATCCCCAAGTCTAAGCAAAGACAAACCTAACATAATTGAAAGAAATTATAAAAAAGGCTGGGGATGGTGGCACACGCCCTTTATCCCAGCACTCAGGAGGCAGATCTCTGTGAGATCGAGGTCAGCCTGGTCTACATAGTGAGTTCCAGGCCAGGTGGGGTTGCAGGGAGACCCTGTCTCAAAAAGACAAAAATTAATAATAATAATAATAATAATAATAATAATAATAATAATGGTGGGGGCTAGAGAGATGGCTCAGCAGTTA